CTTCCAATTACAAGGCGAACTCCCAACTCTTGAGCCATGATCGCCTCTTCTCTGAGTTCTCTGGGTGAAAATGCTTTCTTGATGTCTGAAGTCAGAGGAGATCAGGCTGATAGAAAGGCAACGGCAGGGCGTGCAGAAGAGCATTTCTGAATTCACAACATATCAAAGCCTTGAAGGGCTGCAGCGGCAGAAGAGCACACCAGGTCACTCCTGTCAGATAAGAACAGGAAACTGAGGCTACAGTTCACACACACTCATCAATGTTACCCAGTTTAATGAATCTTGATTTTTGCTGCAGCGTTTGGATGAACGGGTGAGAACTTGGAAAGCATGAAACCACGGATTCATCCTGCCTTGGCAAGTGTAGGGGAGATGTTCTTGACACACTTTGGCCCTTTAGTACCAGCTGAGCATCGTTTAAACACCACAGCTGGGTTCTTGAGCTTTGCTGTTAGTTCACTGTACTCACATGGCCTCCATCTTCGACGTGGAGCCGACAAATCTGCAGCAACGGTGTGTTAAGGAACATTTCCAGCAACTTTGCGAATCTGTGGCACAGGAAATTAAACATTCTGAAGGTAAAAAGGTATCCAACCTGGTACCTTTGAACTGTCCAGTGAGTGTTTATTATGTGACAGCTTCATTCCTCTGATCCTACAGATAACATGAAAAGATTCAAATGTTAGAAAAGCAGAACAAAGAATATAAATAATATATAAATAAGGCTTGAAGCAAAAGGGAGCATAGAAATACATCCAGGACCCCGGAATGGATACGAGAAACGAATAAAAGGAGGAAGCGAAGTGGAAAGAGACGAAGAAATAAAGAAGAATTTGTAAGTAATAGTGCGACATTCTGGGAGATGAGCTTGTTTCCTTTCTTGTGAAGATAAACACTGCTGCAGCCAGAAGTCATTTCCAGGAAAGCTCTGTTTTTAAAACTCCCTGTGAAGCTATGAAGCGTTGTTTTCACACACTAATATAAGATATAATGTTTTCATTACTGAGCTTCAGAGGTTGGCTCACAATATTTATTCCTATTTAATTAATCTTATTAAACACATCGTAATCTTTATAATATAATCGCATTACTCACAGCATCAGCTTGTTCAACTGTTTCAAGTCTGAGATGATTAAAGGGCGCACGCAGTTTGGAGTGCAACGGCTTTTTATAAAGTTGATATTCGTGTAAAATGTTTTATTGAAAGTTGTAATTGGCAGCTTGTAAAAAACACATTTCCCTTCTGACAAGAAAACAGAATTGAAGAAAACAATAAAGAACTGAAGTAAAAACAGAAGATAATAAGGGAAGGAAAGCAGACTGGAGAGATGGAAAGAAGGAAAAATAAAGAAATGATTGAATGAAAATTAAAGTAATATTGTAATATTTTGGAAAATGTCCTTATTTACTGTGCACTGCAGAGAAATACAGGAACCATCTGCTTTTATAATCCCTCTCTGAAACTGTGACGCGTCCTCTTTGCACTTTGGTTTCTGCACAGAATAAACAAAAAGGAAAACGTGTTAATGACTGAGCGTTAGAGGATTTTCAGTCACGGATGAAGAAAGTGGCTGTTGATGCTTCACTCACAGAGCACGACATCAATAACACAGGTGTGTGTGTGTGTGTCTATTTGGCAGCCATGCATTAACAGTGGCTTTTGTAATAATTTGAGAAGCTGCTAATATGTGAGTCATGAAGATGATTTCTGATGTCACGTCATGTTAGGACAGAGTGCGAGAGAGCAGGAGGACAGAACAGATACTGTGCGAGGATGCTCGTTACCAAATCAGTGTCTAAGAAACTAACAGGTTTGGACTGAGAAAAAATAATCTTGGAAGGCAAAGACAAAGAACCAGTTATGAATCATTTTGTGTGCAAACATTAGAATCTGTTTTTAAACACGCTGCTGCATTTCTTATCAAATGCTTTGCACAACAGGAGCTTAGCTTCATCTCGGTTTTCTCAACAAGTTCAACAATCGAGAAAATGAAACCAACACTGGACTTGGTGGGAAAAGGGTTTATTTTGATTTACACACTTTAATGTAACACTGTCATTCTTTCAAATGTATAATAAACAAGCTATTGTCTTGACTTGATTAATAACTAAAGATGCATGAACAACACAAGTATACAACAGCAAACAGAGTGCCAGCCTTGCATCTCTTTTTTTGTCACACTGTTGCCATCTGCTGGACAAACCAATGTGGTGGTCAAGTCAAAACTCAAAGCTCGGGGCTGAAATCAATGTGGAAAAAACTTAAAGTGCAAAGCTGCTAATGACGCTACATGTTGGTTCAACTCAAAATTGATTTAAAAAAAAAAAAATCCTTCATTATCTCTTTTTTTTTTAAGTGTAAATTTTCCCCTAAAAATAATTTCAAATACTAATTAGGTAACTTTCACCTAAATTCAATTAAGGAATCCAATAAATACAAAATATTAAATTAATATTTTTCAATTCATCATCTTCAGCCAAAATGTTACATTTATTTTTGATCATCATTTAGGAAATTATTGAAATTTTCAGGATTATAATCCATGAATCAAAGCACTGCAGTGTGTTCTCCCAAATTCAGTCAATTATCTCAAACAAAATGGCACAGAGGGAAACATTTTTCTCCAATGATCATTAGGTTAATCAAAATAATAAAAAAATAAAGATTAATAATTATAAATAATGATGAATAAATGAAAAATAACGGCTGGATTAGGAGATACAAGTGCTGAATCAGTGCAGCTGTGACAGCTGGAGACAAACGTACAAAACAGAATTAATTTTGTGGTCAAACTTTGTTGACTGCCTTAAGCTTTCCAGCTGGTGGAGCGCTGCGCCTTGTAAACCATCCGCTCGATGAGTCTGACTTCAGTCGTCATTTCTCGCTCCAAATGCTCAGAGAAAGCAAACAAAATCGGAGGCACCTCAGAGTTAACAATAATCCAAATTCTCCCAGCGTAGACAACGTTTGTTTGGCTGAGACAAATGCCATCATATGGCAGGAAGAGACATTCCATCCACAACAACAGATTACTTGTTAATGCTCCACACTGAAGTCTTGCATCAGCTCAAAAGAGAGTCTTCTGCAGGCTCCAGGACACTGTGAGCCACAGGTTTTTAAAGTTTTATTTAAAGTCGTGTTTCATGAAGCAGGGGCCAAGAATGGCCAGTAAATAGTTTTGGGACACCTACAAAACAAACAAACAAACAAACAAAAAAAAAAGCACTGCAGGACGATAAAGAGACCAGAGCCTCATCCAACGCAGGAGACGACTGAATCCATAAATGATGTCATTACAGCCGATCACTTTAACTGCTCTTGCCAATCCAGTGCAGGGTTGTGGGGCTGGAGCCCTAACAGCTCTCACAGAGGGCCACAGGGCCTGTCCAGACAACCAGAGACACTCATTCACAGTTAAGGCAAATTTAGAGTTACCCATTTATCTAACAAGCATGTCCTCTGACTGTGGCACAAAGCTGGGGTACCCTGAGGAAGCCGAAGGGCATCCACACAAGTGGGTTCAAATCCAGGAGCTTCTTTCTGTGCTGCCACAATTCTTAACTTGTAACATAAAAGGTCAAGAATCCCAACAAAGATTAATTACAAAAACAAAAAGATAGTCTCTAAAATTGTAGACACAGATGAAGAGAGCAATAATTCTCAGAGCCTCTGCTGTGGCTTTCCGCGACACTTTGACCCTTTCAGACCAAACTCTGTGACTGCGTTTCTACCCCAAGTGAAATCTCATATGTCGATTTAAACTTCCCTGCTGGGTAAATCCTTGATCACAAATGGCGCAACCAAACGGTTTCTCTCCTGTGTGAACCGTGATGTGAGACTCCAGGTGCGTTTTTCGGTTAAATTTCTTGCCGCAAACATCGCAACCGTACGGTTTCTCCCCCGTGTGAACGATCATGTGCGTCCTAAGGTGGGATTTGCGGTTAAATCTTTTGCCGCACACGTCGCAGCCGAATGGCTTTTCTGCCGTGTGGACGGTCATGTGCGTCGTCAGATGAGTCTTCCGTTTAAATCTTTTACCGCAGTCGTCGCACCCAAACGGTTTTTCTCCTGTGTGGGCTATCATGTGTATCTTTAGATTATTCTGATGCCTTGCTCTTTTGCCACAAATATCGCACACAAACGGTTTCTCCCCTGAATGGATTGTCACATGCGTCTTCAGGTTCTGGTGATGCGTAAACCTTTTTCCACAAATGTCACAGCCAAATAACTTTTCTCCCGTGTGGACCCTCATGTGCGATTTAAGATTGTACAGGTACTTAACTCTTTTGCCACAGAACCCACAGCCAAACGGTTTCTCTCCCGTGTAAATTTTGATGTGCGAGTCTATGCTTTGCTTCCGTTTAAAACATTTCATGTTATCCAAACAGCCAGAAGAACCATTTTCTGAATTACGTCTGATGTGCCTCTTAAGAGACTGCTTGTAGACAAAATGTTTACCGCACGCAGAGCAGCTAAAGTTTTTTTTCGGAGTGTTATGTCCCGCCTCACTAGGAATGCCCGACTCGAGCTTTCCATTTTCACTGTCTTCAGTTTCAGGTCCAGAATCTGACAACGGGCCCTGCCAATCCTCATCACTGACCTCCGTCTCTGAAGAGTCAGAAGCCCCTTTAACAATATTTGTTTGTAAATGAGTACTGGGATCAGGTTTCCTGGCTAGTTCTAGTGATCTACCGTCCTCTCCGTAAGTTTCTATCTTAATCCATTTAGTCAAGCTGCTGCTTGGAGGCTCAGCCGCCGTGCAGTCTTTAGTTTGGCTTTTATGAAGCTGTGAAAAATGAGGTTTCTCTTCATCATCTTCACTCTTTACTAGAATATTGAATGGAAACCCGGTGATTTCAGTCTCCTCGAACCCGTTAAGGTGCTCTCCCTCCTGACTGGCCCACAGTTCCTCCTGCTCCGTCTTTATGTGGAGGTGTTCCGAGTAATGCTGGTCCCATGGAGCCTCTTCTTTGATCACCACAAGTTGCTGAATATCTGCAGGCAACAATGAAACACATGTTTACATCGATAACCGATTTGAAATACACCGACACTCATCCTCAGCAGTTTGAAATCCTTGTAGTGTGTTTTAACTCACACCACGTATTCACTATGAGTTTTAGGCTACGTCCACACGCACATGGGTATTTGTTTTTGTTTTTGTTTTTTAAATCCCATCCACACGTAAATGCAAAATTAAAGGAAAACGCTGCTAGGAACATGTAAAAGCAACAGGTGGCGATATATTCCTAACCGTGTAGAAATGTTGGCCAATCAGAAGTCTAGAAGCCTCGGTGGGAAATAGTAAACAAAGATGGTGCATAGAAGCAGAACGTCCTATGTGTGGAGGGGCAGTAACTGTGTGTGTATATATGTCAGCATTTAAACACTGCAGAGAGTAAAATTAACAGTATTTTGTTTAAGTCCGCCATTGTAGAAATTAATTTCACCGAAACAAAAACGTGGCGCACAGTGTGACGTCAAAAAAGGCTTTGACGCTGTGTTTTCTCCGTTTTCCTCGTCCACACGTAAATGCAAAAACTGCGTTTTCAAAAATATCCACCCTGGCAGGCGTTTTTAAAAATCTCCGTTTTCAGTGACCAAAAACACAGTTTACGTGTGGACGAAAGGTGCAAACGCACAGAAAAATCTGCGTTTTAAAAATATCCGTGTACGTGTGGACGTAGCCTTAATCAGTCACTCCGCGCAGCCAGATCCTGCAATTCCTCTACACACACTGTACGGGTCCAATAACCAGCCATTACTTCCAGCTCACGCTGGGCATGAACATCGAGCTCACGATAAGCCGACAGTTTATGTATTCAGACTGCATCCATAAACTGTTCCAAGTGAGCTAGTGGTGCCCAGAGTCTGAGCCAGACAAACTGGTCACATTATACTGCACAGCAAAGTATGATGTTAGGAATAGAGCATATAGATTTACCAGTCACCAGTTATTCAACTAAAAACACACATCACATTTACAAGTATGCACATTTCTATGGGTGAGGATCATTTAATACTGTTTTAGTCATTATAAACATTACTGTAATGTAATGATCATTGTGTATCTTATGTTAAAAACCATTTGAGTTAATATCTTGCTAGAACAATAGTAGCAGCTGGGGTTTTTTTTTTTTGCAAATTATACCTTTACTTGCATGTGTAAAGATGGCGTTTCATGGTCCCTGGCACTGTCATTTTTAAACATGCACGTTCAATAAGGGAACAAAAACATTCAACGATGACAAGGTCATTCAGAATATTTAGGTAGTCAGGTGACCTTAGTGTTTGAACACATTGTTTCTGAACTAACTGCCCAGCTGGTTGCATATAGTAGAAGGGACGATGACAGGTGCATCAACTAATCAGCCTCTCTTCACCACCAGATGCAGCCATCACTCAGGATCAGGTAAATCTGGACTTAGACCACATGACCTTTTTCAATCAGTATGTTCCCTACCAATCTGAAGCCCTTTTTAGTGGTTTTCTTACAGCTCAGCAGCTGTTTAGTCTCCATCCCTTGAATACTTTGTGTATGGAAATGCTATTTAACTATTAAAACACAGCCGAGAGTTCCACTGTTGATTTTGACTTCAAACGCTTCAGTCATCTCCTGTCACCATCATTCAAGATTTTTTGGAGAAGATTGTTCACCACTATATCCGTCCAGGTTTTAAAAGAAATGCATCAGAGAGATCCTGTGCCACTTTCA